TTACTTGGAGGTATTCTGCCTCTGTACATGGAGGCTCCATTAGGCATCATTCACAGTACCTTCCTAAGCAAGTGTAACTCTGCCTAGGATAAAGTTTGAGTCCATGCGGCAAAATTTAAATAACCAGCAAAATTTAATTCTGGGTATAAGCTTTCGTGAGCATGCACACTTCTTCAGATACATTGAAACAGATTTCCTCAAGCCTTACATATTGGGGGGGGGGGGTTAGTTGCCAGGAAGGCTAGTTAGAGTCACGATGCATAAGTAACTAAGCAATAAGTATAGCTAAAATTGGATTAAAGCAGAGTTCTCACATCTGTTTGTTAACTCTTTTATTTGTATGCTAATTTGCTGCTACTCACAGGTCTTACCACCTGCTTTAATTCAATTCTAGTTATCATTCAGCTACTTATACATCTTCACTCTAAATAGCCCTTCCTGGCAACTACCAACACACACATACCTCTCTCTACCTATATGTAAGGCTTGAGGAAGTCTGGTTTCATGGTATCTGAAGGACTATGCATGTGCACTAAAGCTTATACCCAGAATTAAACTTTGTTGCTCTTAAAGGTGCCACTGGACTCAAACTTTGTTCTGTTGCTTCAGACCAACATGGCTACCCACCTGAATTTGCCTAAGATAGCACTGTGATGGACCTGCTTGTGAATCGGTCTAATCCAGTTTTTAAGCCAGTGCTTGCAGCACCTCATCTTGTGGCAGTGAGTTCAATATGTTAATTAATTAATTTATTAGATTTATACCCCACCCTCCCCACGGAGGCAGGCTCGCTGTATGAAGAAATACTGAATTCTGACATTCCAAAGGGGTGTGGCACTCGTGGCCATATAGCAAATCTGTGCTGGATCACGGAGAAATCTCATGAATATCAAAAGATTGTCTACTTATGTTTCATCGATTACAAGAAAGCCTTCGACTGTGTCAATCATGACAAACTGTGGAGAGCCCTACAAGACCTGGGGGTGCCAATCTGGTCAAGTTGATATAGTCAGGGCTATTTTTGGGCAGGAACACAGAAACGGAGTTCCGGCTGGCTCCTGAGTTGGCCACACCCAGCAGGAACTCATTAGCATAACAGGCCACACCCAACAGCAGAAACTCATTAGGATTGGCTACATTAGGGGTGTGTGGCCTAACATGCAAAGAAGTTCCTACTACAAAAAAAGCTCTGGGTTTTGACAACAAACAAGGTAAAGAGAATAAGAAGCAAAAGGTGGGTGTGGCTGGATGACCACACTTCTGGTAACGTGGGTGCGGCCTAATATGCTAATGAGTGGTGCTGTCAGGGGTGTGGCGTAATATGCTAATGAGTTTCTGCTGTTGGGTGTGGCCTATTGTGCTAATGAGTTCCTGCTGGGCTTTTTCTACAAAAAAAGCCCTGGATATAGTCATTGTACACAAACCAGGAAGCCACTGTGTGAACACCGTACAGAGATACTGATTGGGTCAAGATAGAAAAAGGAGTACGGCAAGGCTGCATTCTTTCACCTTTCCTATTCAACATGTATGTCGAAACAATCATGAGGAAGTTAGAGCTGGAAGAGTCAAAAATTGGGGTAAAGACTGGAGGAAGAAATATCAACAATCTTTGATATGCTGACAACACAACCCTCCTCTTGGAAACTAAAGAAAGCCTGGAATACCTAATCAAGAAAATCAAAGAGGAAAGTGAAAAGTTTGGCCTCTTCCTAAACATCAAAAAGACCAATGAGAAGAATAGAAACATCAAAATAACAGTTAACAATGAAGAGATAAAATGTGTGAAAGAATTCACTTTCTTAGAACCACAGATCAACCAAAACAGGGAAAGCAGTCCAGAAATAAAACGTCAAATCACGCTGGGTCGCACAGCAATGATGAGCATGAATCGAATATGGAAGAGCAAGGACATCAGCCTAGCAACCAAATGCAGATTAGTCTGTGCTATTGTGTTCCCCATAGCAACCTATGGCTGCCAAAGTTGGACCATGAAGAAGCCAGACAGGAGGAAAATCAACTCATTTGAGCTGTGTTGCTGGAGAACGCTCCTGTGCATTCCTTGGACAACAAAGGTGACAAACAAGGTGGTATTGGAGCACATGCCATTGGAAAGAAAAATCAGACATGCCATTGGAAAGAAAAATCGCTAAACTGCAACCAACTTATTTCAGCTATGTCATGCGGAAGAACTCACTAGAAAAAGCAATTACGCTTGGATTGGATTTTGGATTTGGGCCACCAAAGAACACGGTGGCTAGACACCATAAAAGTCGACACCAGCCTGAGCATGGAACGACTCAAAGAAACAGTACAAGATTGGAAAACATGGAGAGAGCTGGCCCATAGAATCGTCAAGAGTCAAACACGACTGAATGGCTAACAACATGAAAAAATACTACACCCATCTTGAACCTACTACTGCTGATCTGTTTCATTGGGCAATACTATGGGGAGGAGGAATAACAGATTAATATAATAGCAGCCCTGTTGAACCAGACCCATGGCTCATTATAGTCCGGCATCCTGTTTCACACAGTGGCTACACAGAGGCCTCTGAAAGGCCTACATGCAGGGCATGAAGATTTCCTTCATTACTGCCCCCATAGCACTGGTATTCATGGGTTCACTACCTCTGTTTTGTTTAGTCCTTGTGGCTAATAGCCACTGACGGATCTCTGCTCCTTGAATGGCTGTTAGGGGAGCAAACATTCTCAATTTCAAATCTCGAAAAAAGTGGGTGTGTGTGTGGGGGGGTAAGAATTCTAGCTCTCCTGTTGGCATGGTTCTTGTTCAGAAGTAAGCTTAGTGGAACCTATTTCCAAATTCACCAGGAAGCGCTTTGTTGGGAACGTTTTGCCCCCCCTCGCAGCTGTTGCAGCTGCCACCAACAGCGCCGTCGGCCATAACTTTTTAAAGAGCCCCGTCTTCGGACAGCGCTGGCTCTTTGGCTTTGAAACGGAGATGAGCACCGCAACCTTAGAGTTGGATTCGACTGGCTTTCGAGCAAGGGAACCTTTACCTTTAATAAGAGCTGGGGGAGCCAGAATGACCTCTCCCTGAGCCCCGGGGTGGTGGACACACTGCTCGGACATCACACGCGAGAGGTGGAATTTGCTCCTACGAGTCCAAGGCCACTACCCCGGGGCTCAGGGAGGCAGGGGAATGTTTTGCCCCTCACCCCCATGGCCGGTGCAGCTGCCGCGGACAGTGGCAGCGGCCATAACTTTTTAAAGAGCCCCTAACGAGAGCTGGGGGAGCCAGAATGACCTCTCACGTGTGATGTCCCCGCCTCCCTGAGCCCCATTCAGACAATGCCGCTCGGACATCACACGCGAGGGGTGGAATTTACCCCTACGAGTCCAAGGCCACCACCCCAGGACCCAGGGAGGCGGGGAACGTTTCTCCCCTCCCCCCTGTGGCTGTTGCAGCTGCCACCGATAGCGGCGGCGGCCATAACATTTTAAAGAGCCCCTCCCGAGAGCTGGGGGAGCCAGAATGACCTCTCGCGTGTGATGTGCCGCTCGGACGTGACACGCGAGAGGTGGAATTTGCCCCTACGAGTCCAAGGCCCCCACCCCGGGGCTCAGGGAGGCGGGGGAACGTTTCACCCCTCCCCCCGCAGCCGTTGCAGCTGCCGCCAACAACAACGGCGGCCATAACTTTTTAAAGAGCCCCTAACGAGAGCTGGGAGAGCCGGAATGACCTCTGGGCAATATTGCCTTTCGGCAATCATGGATTCTCTGTTGGCAATTATGTCCCTATGAGCAATCATGGGCTCTCTATTGGCAATTATGTACTCCATTATCCCCTATGGGCAAGCGTCCTCTCCATTATTCCTTACGGGCAGCCATGGATTCTCTATTGGCATTATGGATTCTCTATTGGCATTATGGATTCTCTATTGGCATTATGGATTCTCTATTGGCATTATGGATTCTCTATTGGCATTATGGATTCTCTATTGGCATTATGGATTCTCTATTGGCATTATGGATTCTCTATTGGCATTATGGATTCTCTATTGGCATTATGGATTCTCTATTGGCAATTATGTACTCCATTATCCCCTATGGGCAAGCGACCTCTCCATTATTCCCTATGGGCAGTCATGGATTCTCTATTGGCAATTTTGGATTCTCTATTGGCAATTATGTACTGCACTATCCCCTCTGGGCAAGCCTACTCTCCATTATTCTCTATGGGCACTCATGTATTCCCTATGGGCAATTGCTGTCCTTAATTTTAGTACGTCCCGTTGGATCGCTGTAAGAAGTCCGTCTAGTCCACCGCCAGCCATGCCCCCAGTTTCTTGGAAGAAAGGTGTGGTACTTAATTAACAATCACAATAATAAAGACAGATTGCCTATGTACAACGAGGCTTTTCTGGCTTGTAGCTTTTGGGCAGACCTGACCTCCATGAATTCGCTTAACTTTGTAAAAAGAGCCTTCTAACTTTTTTTTTTTTAAATAAAAGCTGGCACTGCCATGCAGATCTTGTGGTAGAGAGTTCCGTAAGTTAATAATACACATGGGAGAAGGCCCACTTTCCTCTTCTCTACCCTGAAGCAGTTTAATTGAACGGCTCCGAGTTCTCGAATCCCGGAGAAAAGGCCCCCTCCCCCCTCCCATACCATTCATACTTTGAAAACACCCTTTGTAATCTCCCTGAGCAGCCAAGACCTTGCCCGAAAGAGCGCGGCCCCGCCCTACTCGGAAGTAAGACCCGGCAACCCCGATGGGACCTTGCTCCCGAGTAAAGCACGCGCCGGCTCGAAGCCTTCCGTGTGTGTCATCTTCTCTCCTTCCCATTTAATTTGTCCTCCTCTCTCTCTCTCTCTGCCTGCACCAACTTTGTCCTCTTTGCACTCCAAGGAGGAGCCCGGCTGTCTCTTTAAGCTACTCCTCCCGGGCCGGTCCCACCCCCGCGCCAGTCCCCGCCTCGCCCCTCCCGGGCCAGGGAGAGGCGGCAGCGGCAGCAGCAGCAGTCGCCGCCACAGAAACGGAGGAGGTTCCGTACGGGCTGCGCGGGGGTCCCGGGCGAGCTGCGCGCAGCCATGGCCGGGGCGCGCCCGGGGGTCCACACGCTCCAGCTGGAGCCCCCGCGTGTCCCGGACACCCTGCTCAAGGGCAGCAAGTTCATCAAGTGGGACGAGGTGAGTAGTGGTGGTGGGAGGGCGGGGAAAGATCCCCCTCCTCCTCCTCCTCCTCCTCCTCCTCCCCCCGCCTCTGCCCTGCAAACTCTTCCCGGAAAAACAGACGCTTTCTTCTCCGTGCATTTTGCGACCCCCCTTGCTTTGGTTTAGGGGTGCCCCCCCTTTGCGGGGGAGCTGTGGAACCCAGTGGGTCCTCCTCCCGTCTCTCTCCCCCCCCCCTTCCCCTGCATTCTTTCAAAAATTTCCTGGGAAACAAATCCACTATCCCTTCTCTGTGGGAGTAAAAGGGTGGGCTGCGTAAGTAGTGGAGCACTTCTGAAACTCTCCTCCAACTTTCTTCCCCCCCCGTCACACACCCCATTGCATTTCTTATAGGTCTTTCCTCTGTGCTGGGGCTATGTAACTAACTGCTATGTAACTGCTATGCACTTTAGCCTGGACAGAATCTCCTTGAATTCTTCCCCCACCCCGTCCCCCTTTCTATCTCATAGGATTCTCCTAAATTCTATTCCTTTGGAAACCTGATTCTCACAGGTATGAAATGGAGGTGGGAAATACGCCCCCCCCTTTCTGCTTTCTTTATGCAAATTCTTTTGGGCCCCGGGGGATCAAGCTTTCTGTGTCTCCAGTTTCCCACTGTTTTACCTGTGGGATCCACCAAGGGGGTGCATGTGTAACTAACCAGCAAAGGGACCCCCATGTGAACCTTAAAAAAAGAAAGAAAAAGAATTGCCTCCCTCACTTTTCAGGGCCCCTCCCCAGCATCATTGGGTACTCCAACATAGTGCTAATGTTCTGGGAGGGAATCCTATTTCCTGATTCACTGCAGATCAGCTCAAGAAAGATATGGAAACTGGGGGATAACTCTGAATTCTTCGCATGCCTTTGACGCTGTCAGTACAGATTCCTTGGATGTGGGATTGGCAGAGTTGCTCAAGGAAACTTTGGGGTTCCCAGTGCCTCTACATTCCATCCTGCTGTTTTGAAAGGGGACTTCTGCCACCCCATTCCCCACTTGGGACGTCTGGGAGTCCCCTTTTTTGGGGAAAAGTTTGTCTCCATGGGTTCATCATGTACTCAATGATCTGTCTCTAGCATAGCATCTCAGAGCTGTTAATTCTTGCAAATTCCTCCCTGGCCGCCTTCTCTGCTTCTCTCTCACCCCATTGCCCCAAACTGGCTATTCCAAGGGACTGTGGGGTGCAGTTCAGTACCCCCCTACACCTTCGTTTCCTCCTTCCTTGTCTGAACTGCCTCTGGATCTCCCCCCTTCCTTAACTATTTGTCTGTTTGATTCTTTGTTCCCCCTCAACATCTGAAACAAATTCTTCTTTTTACAGAGTGTTGGCAGGAATTTAAATATGCAGTTTGAGGGGAAGGGGCGGGAGTGTTGTTCTTGGGGGGGGGGAGACTGTCAAATACCCCTGTCTTGCGATCTGTCACATTAAATGTGTCAGAGAGTCGGTGCGGTGTAGTGGTTAAAATGTCAGGCTAGGATCTGAGTAAACCCGGGTTAGAATCCTCACTCCGCCATAGAAGCTCGCAGGGTGACCTTGGACCAGTGACATACTCTCAGCCTAAACTACCTCACAGGGTTGTCGTGGGGATAAAATGGAGGAGAGGAGAGCACTGTAAGCCGCTTTGGGCCCCCTTTGGGGAGAAAGGTGGGACGTAAAATATGCAAAAGGGGGCGGCTACACTGGCCCCCTTGTTTGCCGCTACCTCTGATTCAGGGGCTCACGCATGCAGGCCCATAGCTAACATGGGGCCCGCCCCCCTAGAATTTTGTCCAGGCCCCCTCCCTCCTGGGCTGGCCCCAAATTGAATTTGTTTAATTGACTTTGATTTAAATAGTTGCGGCCTCCCCGAGGCCCCCTCCCCCCAAAATCCCCAGCTACGGGCTGCCTGCATGTGCACCTTATGCATTGTTCTAAGAGAGTGGAGCTTGTGTGTATAATATATAACTCTTTTAGGCCCAAATACTGTTCAAGAAGGAAATTGCTAGCTAAGACTGAGCATGGTATGCGTTGTACTGGGTGCTCTCCATATGCTCTTAGCTCAGAGATTCCGGGAGGACTGATTTCCAGCAGATCTCTGGGTTTGGGGCTTTCTGAGTGGGTTCCTAGTTCTGTTAGTGGGGGGTTCGTACTTGGGACAGATACCTGGAAACCAGCTCTGCTTGCTGAGGCTGTGTTCAGAGAGAGGGCAGCCTCTATAAGGACCAGGAAACTGTCTTGCCAAATTGTCTCAGTGACACCTAATGTCTGTCTCTCTCAGTGTGCATTTGCTTGGGTAGTTAGGCTGACTCTGGGCCCTAAAACACAGGGATGCAATCACACATAAGGCCAAGTGTTACAGGCAGATCCTCTGGTATCTGTTTCTTGTGTGAAAATGTAGGGTTCAGTTGAGCCTGAAGGATATTTATGTAGGAAGTGAGTTAGAATCCACTTGGCCACATACACTCAGCAGTGCTGGCTTCAAGATCATGGGGGGGCATGTTCCCTCCTCATAAGGTGGGGCACTAAAACTCTCTTGCTCTGCCTTCTTCTTGGGTACCTCCTGCACTGCAAGAACGGCTGCGATATCGGGGACAGACCTCTTTTTGCTGGTCAAACGCCCAGTGTTGGCACTCGCCATTAGTCCTGTAGCACTTCTGGAAAATGTGTGAAAGAAGAATTTCAGAGGGCCCATTCTGAGCAAGTGTGGCACAGCAGTGGTGTGTGGCTAGTGGGAGCCCATGTGGGATTTTGAGCACACCATTAGTGGTTCCCTGGGTAGCTTTGGGTGGAGCCCATGCAAGGTACATATTAGGAACATTTCAGTCGGATTTGGCGGTATGGGTTTCTGTGTTACACGTGAAGGGGTTTTTTTTGGTGGTCCTCTTATAACAATAACGGCAGGACCTAGAGGGGGGGGGCTTTCATTTTTGTCCCTTCTTGCCTCCCTACCTGGGAGCTGGGCCTGCCATTCTCTCCTCCCCGCTTCCCCCCCCCCCCCATGTTCTCACTCTGGGCCTTGCCTTGGGTTTCACAATCGAGGCCCGTGACAAGACTGGCCTCATACTTCCTTTTGCTCCATCAGACCCAAAAAAGGAAGCCGGAGCCTGAGGCCAAAAAAAAGGCAGAAAGGGGGAGACAGATCAAGGGGCATGGCCCTTCCTTTCTTTTCCCTAAAGATCAAAGGAGCCAGAGAATTGGGGAGGGGGAGAAGGAAGGCAGCCACAGAGAGCCGCACAGCACCATCCCCCCATTACAAGAAAGAGGAGGCTGGAGTTGTAACTCCTGAATTCCTTCCCCCTCACGGACGCCATTTCCTGCAAAGGAATCGCCCTGGCCATCTCCCCCCATATATTTGGGTCCACATTTTATGGGTGTGTGACCCCTTGATGTCTGTCTCTGCTATGGGTGCATGGGTGTGTGCATGCACGCGCATGGGTGTAAATACTCTAGATCAGGGGTGGCCAGACTTGCTTGATGTAACAGCCACACAGAATAAATGTCAGATGTTTGAGAGCGGCAAGGCATGAACAAATATTACACACACGTTTTTATTGGAGAATATGCAAATTTGCTTTTTTATTAACATTAAATTAGACCGTGTGAAAGAACTGCGTGTGAAAGCGCTGTCAGATTTGGCACCCCCTCCCCGACTTCTTGTTAAGACTGTGGGCAGTTTTTGGAGTGGGGTGGGGAAGTTGCAATTGTGATTTGTCTGGAACAGCAGGCCGGTTTTGGAGACTTGTAGGTCAACAGGACTTGACTGAACAAGACTGTGGGGGGGAAAGGGAAACTTGGGGTGGGGACTGAGGAGATCTTTGTCGCCAGGTGCCCATTTCTGCTCTGCCTCATGTTGGCCTTCCCCCTTTCTGTTCTTTTCCCCTTGCTTGAGGATGTGAAATCTAGCCGCGGTGTTTGCTCAGCCCGCAGAAACATGTTCCTGAGGTTTCTGCCAACAGACCCCCCCCCTCCCTCTCTCCCCCTTCCATCAAAAAAACGTTTCTTAACCAGCTGTGAAGACACGGCCTGCCAGAGATTTCCTGAGGAATCTCGTCTCAGGCTTTGGCCTCCGTGAGGCAGAACAGATCTGTTAGGGTGAAATCATGGGAAGCAGGAAGGGTTTCCCCAAAGGAGATTGTAATTTTTACGTCTCCCATAAAACGATGGCTCACTGCAGGTTTCGTGGATGAGTTGGCTTGCCTCTCTAGCATCATCAGGCACCCCCCATTGGCCCATCCCGTTAATCCTGAAATTGGGGTTCCCCCTAAATACCACTTGCGGCTTCCCAGCCTGGTTTCTGAAAAGAAAGCAGCTTTAAAAATGTACATGTCCCTTTGTCCAAATTCCATAAATATTTTAGGGGATCAGCTCCGCAGTCTGCCTCTGTGTGTGTGTCCCCCCCCAAAGATGGGAAAATATCCAAGTGTGGGTGTAAGATACTATCCTCAAGTCCTCTTTCTCCCTACATTGCCCTCCCCTTTCATTGCTTCAAGAGCGATTTCCTTATCACAAGTGGGAGAGGCAGGAACAATAATTCCAGTCCAATGTTTCCACGAAGATAACGGTACAGAGGGCAGCGGATAGGGAGGGGTGTATGATGTGAGATATTGGGTCCGGGGAGAAAAGGGGGAATGGTGGAATGCAACTGCAAAGTCTCTGTTCTGTCAAAAAAAACCACCCCAACCATTTCCTCTTCATCTTCCAATCCAAGATGCAGTTTTCCGAGGTCTCTGGGCATCTGGGGGGGGGGGCACATATGGCCTCTATTAAAATTCCTGACTTGCAGTCTCCCCCCACAAGCACAGTGCCTTAGGGGGATTCTCTCACCCCAGCGATATGCTCCCTATGTGAATTTGAGAACCGCTATATCTGTTTGGATAATAAAGGGAATGAGCGGGAGTTGTGTGTATTGAGGGAGTTGGGGGGTGGAAAAGAAAGCTTTTTTTTTTGGCTGGGGAGAGTAGAGTTTTCCTCAGTGGGGCAGTACTGCGGTTGTGCAAAAAA